AGCAATATGAACACAGTATAAACAGTAAAAAGAATAGTTTGGGCATTTAAAAACTTTAAACAGTCATATGCAATCTTTTTCGAAATTAACTGATAGAATACTAACGGAGGTGGTCTTTGTCCAACGGCCAAAGTTCAGAGGTCTTTGTTAAAAAAAAAAAAAACGACATAGAGGTATTCGTCACTGGCTCATAGTACGGGGGGATGGTTTTCAAAACCGGACCGGACAGGACGGTCAGATCAGAAAAATCAGGAGCCGGTCAAGTGATCGGCTTCGTTTTTCTCTAAAACCAGGATTTCTCAAAAACTATTGATTTTGGTCAGCAAACCGCTGACTTGAGCGGTTAACTGTTCAAATCATTTGAACGGTTTTGACCATTTTTTTTATTTTTTATTTTGTCAGAATGGGTCGGCCATTCGGTTCGAATGGTCGGACCGTTTGACCCAATAACTGGACCCCTGACCGGTTTAGTCTTCGAGTCGGTTTTAAAAACCATGACGGGGACCTTTGTAATTTACCCAACTAAATACTATTTCTGTACATAACAAGGTTCAAAATATCGATACGCCCAATATGCCGATATAGGTGTATCGAGCGAATCGATACCCTTTTTATACGTTTTATTTTTATTTTTTTTTGCAACCGGTACAGGGGGGCCGATTTAGGTCTCCTCCATCCCCTGGACCAGTCAGACCCCCGATACACCCACTATATGGGCGTATCGGAAGAGTGCCGGAACGATAAGTATCGGCTTATACGGGCCGATACATGCCGATACTTTGAATCTTGATACATAATGCAATGTTTAAAAAAATGATATGAAATCAGAACCTTTTATAATTTATTTTATTTTTTAATTAAAATAAAAATGACTAAAAACCGTTAAATGGGTCGATGATTTAACCACCCGAATCAACAGGTCAACCAATTCAATGGTTTTTAACCAGGAACTGGATTTAGGTAAAAGAGAACCAGTGCCTAAACAGCTCACGGCCCAACCATCAAAGTCAACCGCAGTTTGAAAACATTGAGATAATGAGAAAAAAATTGAAGCCAAATATCTCTTAAGTGGACATGGAGAAATCATTTCAGAAAACAAAGCCCAAATTAAATTACAACATCCAAGATACTCCGTTTGATGAGAGCTGTGAGGAAGGATAAGGATTAGCTATTGAGATCGGCTTCAGTCAGGGCAAGTCTATTCTTATACTATTTCAACAGTCTCTTTTAACCTTAGATTGAGAATATCTCACCATGAAATAAAATATAGAAGTATGGAATTATTCCAAATTGCAAGACTATAAAAGCTGTTTGAAAGGAATCCGGCTTGGGTCAGGGCAAAGCTCATTCCAACAACTTTTACAATCTTACGTTTGTAATATCTCCATACTTGTATAATTTATTTTATGAGAAATATTCCCAATACAAAATTGCAAAGGGCTGGCTATTCATACATTACGAACACCGACTTGCCCTGACAGAAGCCGAAAGCTTGAATTTGTTGATACCTGCTCCGAAGAAAGGACTCAAACTTGAGGTTGATCCGTCGATGATAAAGGTGTTTGTATCCGAGATAAGAAATCGAAGCCAATCAATTGTTTATTTGTCAGGCACTACATAATAGTAATACCGAGAGCAGCATTCCTAATGTTGGAGGCCTTCCACCTTTAATTTAATGAAGATGATATTGACGCTGAGAAATCTTWGCCGAGGCTGAAGATTAAACTAAATTTATTCTTGAAGTTGCTAAAGAGTAAAGGAGCACCCTAAACAGAATTTTAGTGGCATAACGCTTTTGAAGAAGCCTAAACTAGTAATGCCCCATACGTTTTTTACTTTCTATTAAGTTATTTATTGGGGTAATATACTTATTCGGGTAAATGTATTTTTTTTATTTTTTAGTTAAATAATATAATGATCATTTTAATCATAAAAATTCATTATTAAAAGAGGCAATTTCATTTCATCAAAGTATTGGCAACTTTTCCCTGTGCTATATTTGGTTTAAAGGAAAAAGTAGGGAAGGAAAAGGAAAGGAAGAGAAACCTTTACAAATCTTGTATAGGTTTCCTTGCATTTCCCTTCCTTTCCCTATTTTTTCCTTCAAACCAAACATAGCCTTGGTGAAAAAGTTATTTATCGCCACTTAACTGGATAAAAAAAAATAATTTTTCTGTTAATTATACATAAATCTAAAAAAAGAGCATGGACATTGACTAAATCTTAGTCATTGAAAACAAAAATCCTAGGAATTATGGTGAAGTTATTGCAAATTGTCTAATGCTGCAACAGTCGAGAAAATTGATAATTAATGCACTACTTTGCTACTTAATTGATCGTTAAATTTTGTGGTTGAAGTTGTAAAAACTAATTCCATGCTTGTTTATATTTTTCAAGAATTACAGCCACTTGAGTAGAGTGATTTGCATTTTGCTGGAAAGCAAGCTTCATGTGGTTTTGAAAATTATGTGTCTGTTTGGAACCGTTGCTGTTGTTTCAGAAAACAGCACCACATCAGCGCCATGTAGGAAAAAATGGTGCTCCAAGAAACACCCTTCTGTTTGGAACTGTTTTTCTATAGAAAATGGTGCTCTAAGCCATGGCTTGGTGCAATGCCAAATTTAGCTTTTCCTGAAGCTGTAGCTCGTTACTGCCAACAGGGCAATGATGTGGTAGTGAATAATGAGTAGAAGTGCAAAACACATTTCTTGAAGCATTGATACCAAACAGAAAATATTGATGTTGCTCCAGGAAACGTTCTATTTGGCAACAACAATTCAAAACAAAAAAAAAGCACCATTTTGCTGCAACTGCAGCATCGATGCAAAACATATACTATAATCATGCGACTGAAATTGAAAAATTCCTAGAAACTCCACTCTAGAGTTGATGACCATTCTTTTAGTTTGATTCCTATAGTTGAACTTTGAAACAATAACCGTATATCTTCTAGCTATTGAGGAAGATAAGGACTTTTAAAAATCAACTCGAAATCAGAACCCTTTTGTGGCCACTTATTTTTGGGTCAGTGGTTTGACCATCCGGGTCAACAACTGTTCAAAAATTATGCCTCCACATGGATGAGTTCATCAAATGGAGCAAAGGAGCACTGAGATATGATGGGTTCCTTTGCTCTGCCTCCGAAAGCAAAGGAAAGAGCTGAATTTGAGAGAAAGAGTTGCATCAAGGGAATCATTGAGTATAGATAGGAAAGAGAGTGGGTTTTGGCGATCAGGATGTGCAAAACGTAATTTTTTGGTTCCCTACAACGTATCCATTTTGGGATCTACCGGTGCACACCAACATATGGTCATCAAACGGTGGGCATGCTTGACATTTTCAAAATAATTAATTAATTAAAGAATGGCATCATCATTTTCTACTATCACTTTTACGTCGAGATAACAGAAAGGGATATAGATGCCATAGTGTAGAAAAAGCAGGGAAGGACAGTGTGCATTAGCATAACGCAGGATACTGAATTGCAACTGTCAGAAACTAGGGGTGAGCAAGAAAAATAAAAAAACTGAACGGAAATTTTGGTTAATCGAATCAGTCGATTTGGTATTTTAAAATAACTGAAAGTATTGGTCCGGTTTCGGTTAACCAAAATAGAAAATTGGCGATTAACCGAACCGATTGGTATACATATTTATATATTTTATGTATATTATATATATTTTATATTTTTTATACATTATAAATTAATAAATATGTATTATATATAAATATATATATTTATTATTTAAAATATAATATTATATATATATCTAGTGTTTTATTATATATTTATATATTTTATAATATAGGTCGTAAATAATAAAAAACCGACAAACCAAACCAGTCAACCAATTAACCAATTGGCTTCAGTAACCCCGATTCGGTTTCAAAAATAAGCCCACGGATCAATTAACCAAACCATAAGCACCCCTACCAGAAAGTACAAGGAAAATTTCAGCAAAACTTTGTATAAGTAGGGGAAGGTAGCCTTCCTTTCCCCACCGTCTTTTCCTTCAAGCCAAACACAGCCTAAAATAGTGGACAACATTTTGATTTTTGACGAAATACAAAGAGGGAAGGTAAAAGACTAAGAGTCCTCTCATCTCATCTGGATGCTCACATGGATCTCTTTTTCTTTCCATTTCTTACATTTGTGATTTGTTAAAATGGGTTGAATCAAACTCAGATAGGGGTTTATTCAATCCAATAAGAATATGAGAGATCTAAATTCAATCCATAAATATGTAAAACATAGATTTACACTTTTTTATGTATTCAGATATCTTATCCAAACTTGATTCATTTAAAATAGGGAGAATGATAGCTCATCCCAGGGTCAGAATTTGTAGGCTCAAAGTACATTTTGGGTAGGTGCCAACTCAAAATTGATGCCAATTCATAAGCGGATATAGGTGCATAAAATATGGATTTTTGACCTTTTGAATGTTTTTTATAGTTTTGCAGTGAAAATCCAAAATCTGCATTCGGTCTGTCCATACTTCTCCGTTTAAAATATCAATAAACTTGTATAGAAATTATGACAAATTTTATATAAAACAAAAGATGTATAAAAAAGTGTAGTGCAGTTTCTCCTCAACATGTGGACTCCAACGTGGTTTTAGAAAGGTGGACTAAGTTTCTTAATGGCTGCACAGTAGCCCTCACCTGATGGGATGATGGGCTTCTCAGGTTTGATGGCTCGGGATCATAATGAACTGGGAACTTGGGAAGGCCAGTGTGCAGTTTCTCCTGAGTTCACATCAGAATCCCACAGGACACGCCCCCACAGCACATCATAACCGTGTATTGGGCATATCTCCTGATGACAAATACGTGAGATGTTCTCAATTTATGCTGAAATGTGCATGTGGAGCAGGCGCCCGCTGATATGATTTTGTTTCTCCTCAACATGTGGAATCCAAGGTGTTGAAAGAATGTGTCATGCCATTTATCAGCTGGGACTGTAATTGGGTGAGCATAGACAGCGATTGTCAGGTTACCGTGTATTGCCTATCTTCATCAAAAGTTAACTGTGACAAGGAGATTGCTTCCTCGATCGGGATATGATTCAGCTCATCAAAGGCAAGGAGTTTTGTTTCTCTTTTATTCAGTGCGTGAATCATGATGGCTCAACGTATTAGATTATAATCATAGACAGTCAAATCACCAAAAACCATGGTAATTTGGTGATGCATGAGAATTTAAGCCATCAGAGAGTTCCATGAATCAATCCCAGTGATGGTCAAACCTTCAAAACTTGTTCTTTTATTAGTTAAGAGTCTACAGCAATTTCTAAACAATCAGAAACCCACGTGAATTAGGAAGAATACCAGTTGATTGGAATCTTCCTTTGCCAGACATTGTTCAAACGAACGAGGCCTTGGGAGCAGAAGACAGTAAAACCACAATTGGAGAAGTATATGCCATAAGCTGAGTATCACGCTCCAGAAAGCTTCGGTCTTGTCGTCTTGACTAGATGACACTCATAAACTTCTAGCCAAATGCTACTTCGCCCCTCAGCTCATGCAGAGCAAGATCAACATTTGAATTGTTAATTTTTATATGCAAATTAGATTTTATCCATTCAATTTTTAGTTTGGAATTGGATCGAAATAAAACATTGACCAGCATTTACAGATTAAATAAAAATAAYCAGAATGTTGAATACTTTTTTCTTGATGAATAGAATGTTAAATACTATCAACAAAATGAATTAAAAATGACTTAAAAATAATTTCTACGAGACTTAAAACCTATGACTAGTAAACATACAACATTAACTGACTTAACCAACAGAAAAATACCAATTTTATGTTAAATATGAGTTATTGTAATTGTCATCATCATCATAATCCAAGCTTTACCCAACCATATGGGGTTGGCTACATGAATCTCGTTTCACCATTCTATTTTATTTAAAGCCATAATCATTGTTAAAGTACTGGCACTAAAACCATTTCTTAGTACCACCCATGTTCTTTTTGGTCTACCCCTAACCCTTCTAGCCTAATCACTTCTCACAAGTCACAAGTGTTGTTCATGGTCTTCTATGTACACGACCAAACCATCTAAATCTACTCTCATTTTATCACCCATCAGAGATACTCCTAGGATCCTACAAATAACTTCATTTCTGATCCCATCCTTCATTGTTTTTCCACCCATTCATCTTTAGCATACACATTTCTATTACACAATTTTTTGGACATGTTTCATGACTGTCTAGCCATAACTTGTCTTACAACTGTTTTTATAGAATTTTGGTTTTGATCTAAATATACATTAGACTATCACATAAAACTCTGGATGGTAAAATTTTGTGACGAATCAGATTGGGTTGAACCCGTATTTATTCCAATTATAAACAAATTCAATTCGGGTGACCTCAACTAGATCAAAATCAAATTGGGAGATTTGCACAGATGCATTCCGCTGAGAAGTACGCACAGCTCCAAGGAAACGGTACAATCTGTAGTTGCTTATGGTAAAATTACCATATCCGGGCAACTGGACATACTAGCAGGCATAGAGACGACATATTACCCGGGCAACTGGGCATCTGTAATTCAAAGCTGTGTTTTGGTACATTTCTATTCAAAGTTCAAACATATTACTGAGAGAGAGAGAGAAAGCATAGAGACGACATATTACAAAAGATGCCAAATAAATAGACAGTTAATAATGGGAGTGTATATCATTCACCTCATCTGAGTTTAAAAGATTGATCCCATCGCTCATCCATTACATAAGATGCCAAGCTGCATCATTAACCTGAAGGATCAAAACAAGAAAAGAAAAGCTGAAATGTCAAAAAGAAAACAAAAAAAGCACGGCTTTTCCTTCCCCTTGAAACCTTCAGACCAGAACAAAATCGTCAAGGAACCCACCCATGCTTCTGAAGGCAGCTCCAATATGCATGCCCCATATAGAAACCTAGGATGCTCTAACACGAACTAGTAAAGAGCTTAACAAAAATTAAGAAGGCATGGCTGCAGGATCAAGTTCCCAACAGCCTCTCAATCTGCCATCCCTCTCCTCTGTCAACTGGTGGGCAGGAATTTGATGAGAAAATCTGAGCAACTCCACCCTTGGTATCTCCATAGTGACAGCTGACGCACCTTTTCTTTTAGCCTTGTAAACTGACTTGTAACCATCCACCTGTACCAAGAGCAGGACTTTTATCCCCAAAGCATTGTCCTCAAGGATTTCTACTATGTCATATTTGCAACCAAGCAGATCAGAGCATGTCCATTCAGTATTCCAGTCCTTGAATAATGCCCAAACTTCACCTTTCCTTGGGTAGATATTATATCCATTCTTACCAGAGGTCTCTACTCTCAACTGGTGAGAAAAGAAACCGGTTTCATCATAAACAGTTGGTTTCCCGTTTTGAACCTTAAAAGTACCACAGCAAATAGGAATCTCCTTGTCAAGCCACTGAATCATGTCCTTAGGCTGCTCACAGGCTTCAAGCCATGTTATGTACACCTTGAAATCTGGGGGAGACTTGATTTTCTTTATTTGAGCATAGTACTTAGGCAAGCCATCCACATCACTATATAATGCCCATATCTGACCGGGTTGAAACTTCTCATGGGATTTTTCACTTTCAAAGTCATAAAAATCTGACTCTGGAATTTCAGAAGGTTCTGCAGACGAAACAGGAGAGGAACTAGGATCTTCAGCAACACTATCAGAATTGGTGTCCCTGGGACCTGAATTCCTCTCTTCTTCATCAGCTTGACACATCGAGTCACTTACTTCAGCAGGAGGCAGACCATCACGGCAGCAGTCTCCCATACCACTGTCTAAATGCTTGGCAATCTCTTCTTTCCTCATACATTGACCTGCATTTGCTTGACTAGGCTTCGTATGGATGTCATTCAATCCACCCTGAGACTGATGGCTGCTAATTGAATTCCTACTTTCTGGGGCATTCTTCTCATCTTGGTCTATGCTCTCCTCCTTCATGTTACACCTCTTTGTCAGGGGCCTCTTGTTCTCTGGAGATTTAGGGCATGAACCCTTGACTTTAGCATCGGCATTTTCAACTTCTACTTTCACATCTTCTGGACAAGCATACTTTTCCAGATCAGTAGGCAGAGAAGCAGGATCAAGCTCAAACGACCCTTCTGGAACATCCTTTCTTTCCTTACCAGTCATTCTAAATGATGGTACCTTATGGGAAAACCTAAACAACTCATTGGGCAGTATTTGGAATGAACCAACACCCTCCTTCGTTGTTCTTTGAAACAAGCATACAAACCCTTTCACCTTACCAATAAATTCAACTGTAATACCAGCTTCCTTATCATATTCTGACAGGACTTCAACAAATTCATACTCATACTTTCTATGATTATCTGGTTCAGATTTCCAATTGATACTCCAGTTCTTAAAAAGTGCCCAAGTTTCTCCCTTTCTAGGGTATATCATGTAAGAACCTTTGGCTCTGCCTTTTTCCCAGGAAGCCAAATGAGAGAACATAGGCATATCCTCAGCAAACTCACTACTCCCTAGTCTGAACTTGCCACAAGCAACTGGCAACTCCTCATCTGCCCAATCAATCTCATCTTTGTCATCTGGATCAGGTTCTAGCCAAGTGATCCGCAACTTAAATCCAGGTGAAAATACTTTCCCAACCCGAGCATAGAACCTAGGCATGCCATCCACATCATCATAGATAGCCCAGACTTGATCAACTGCAAAAGAATCCTCTTTTCTGTTCTTGTCAAAGTCACTGAACTCTGCATCAGGGCAGTCAAAGAACCCAGGCTCTAGCTGGGTCTCATGGCTTGTCTTTGATTTAGAATCATCAGCTTTGGACTTTTCTCTGACATCATGCACAGGCACTTTTCCATTTTCTTTGCATTCCTTGGCCCTATCTTTTCCATTTGCTAAGTTTTCTCCAAGAGGGGGCTCCTCTTTCTCAACCTCTTTACTATCACTGACAAAACCAGCCTGCTTATTGGTTTTAGATGCCTCTTCCTCCAAAGATGTTTCCTTGCTCTGCTCATCTGAAGTGCCTCTTGACCTTTTAGTAGAAGGCACAAAGTCATCATCGTCACTTGTATCTTCATTATAAGTAACTTTAGTCTTCTGTCTAGTAGACCTCCGTGGGTAATGGCCTTCAGTAGCTCCATTCTGAGGAGAAGAAAGACCATCTTCCATAACTTCTTCAGTGTCAATGCTGCTTCCAGAGTCACAACTTTCACTTGATTCCTCTGTGATCTTCCTTCCTCTCTTCCTGTTTTGGCTTCCTGAATGTTTTAAATCCCCAGTCTTTTGTTGCACAAACTCAGGTCTTTTTGCCCTCTCATCCCCAACTCCCCTATCTACACCTCCATCTTCCTTTGATGTTGTTTTAGACTTTTCCCCAGCCTCAGAAGTGCCTCCTGTCCTTGGGACTTTTTCTGATGTAGAGATGCCATAGTTGGAATTACCTTGAAATCCCATACTGCAAGGGGGATTCCAAGCAGTGCTTTGTGGGCCCACGTTGTGAACAGCCTGACCTGGTGCCACTTTCTGTTGGGGAAACACAGGGCGATACCAATTGCTTGTAGGTACACCTTGAGCATCTAACTGTCTTGCAATAAAGGGCTTTGTACATTTTGGACAATTCAGATACTTGTTCAAAGTTTCTGTGAAATACTGATACTTTACACCACAAGAAGGGCACATTGTCCAGAAAGTCTGCCGGCCATTGGAGAACACTGGTTGGCCCTGCTGCTGCTGCTGCTGGTACTGGGTGCTTGTGAACTGTGGAGGAGCAACATTCACAAAATTGCTCTGAGCCCCAGGTTGTTTCCTGACAGAAGAGTTTCTACTTGCCTGAGGTTGGGGCTGCTTTGGCACAACAACTGTTCTCATGGAGTTTCTACGTTTCATGTCATAGGCAGAACGTTTTGCCTGGTCAGAAAGCACTCTCTGGGCTTCCCCAATCAGCTTAAATGCAGCCTCTGCTCCAGAAAATTTGTTTTTATCAGGATGAAGTAGGAGTGCAAGCTTTCGGTACTGCTTTTTTATTGATGCTTCATCTGCTGTTTGTTCAACTTGAAGGATTGCATACCAGTCCATCTCAGATCCAAATATCCTCTGCTCGGCAGAACAATGCACCTCACATACTGTTAGCAACTGGGATATGTTCTCTAGGTCTGGATAAAGTTGTTGGGCTCTGAGAGCAATTTTCCGAGCTCCCATAAAATCCTTGGTTTGCATCTTCTTCTCTGCAATTACCTTGGCTCTGATGGCCTCTTCTTTGTTGCAGTCCATGGTTTACAGAGGATACAGATATTACCCAGCTATGCTTCCCTCATGACCTCTCCCACCTTATTCTCAATTTGTTCAAATGATAGTAGGAAGAGAGCAATACATGGTGAGTCTGGCCTCACCCCAGCCCTTTTTTAGCATATATCTCCCTCAAGTTATCTGCTCATATATACCAAATAACCAATATGTCAACTCAGTATCCACACAAGCCACAACAAAACAATATCAGAATTTCCCTCCAAGTTAGACACCTCCTTGGGACCTAAAAGGAGAAACAAAAAGAAATTATTTCTGAAATCAAACAAGAGTTTATCTAGCATTTAATTATGAATCGTTTATATAGTTTTTATTCCCATGTAAATTAAATAAGAGATTAATTAAGCAAATGAAACACTATATCCCAGATCTCTACAAAAGTGCGGAAGAATTACCAAAATGAATGAAGTTTGGAGCAGCCCTTAAATCAACTTAATGAAATAGACAGGACTGAAACCCGAGGATAACTAGAAATGATAGCTTCATATTCAAAAACCTGAATCACGTACCCACTTTGTTATCAGATTGAGCTCCATAATGCGCGCATCACTCGAAATTCAAATTTCAATCGGAAGAGAGAAGGACAAGCAACCAACCTTATAACCAATGAAAACGCCATGCAATTAACTGAATGCACAATTCAAACTTCTCCATGTTGGCATAAAAAAAAAAAACGTCCGTTGTGCGTAGTCAGCAAGACACACACACACAAACTCTCTCTCTCTCTCCAATCCAGGTACCAAAAACGAACTACAGAAACCCTAATTCTGCTAGAATAGACCAAAACCCAAACCAAACCCTAGATTACTAGCTGTCCAACAAACAAAAACAACAGCCAACCAGAAGCAGAAGAGCCGCGCCAAACAAATCAACAAAGCTCCCGATGCAAAATCAACCCTAGCATGAACCAAAACGAGAAACCCACATCAACACAAAGCCCATGTAAAGAAAACTTTCACAAAACCAATAAAAACTCAAACATCTGTAGAAACCCTAGAACGAGAACAGATAGAAGGAAAACCTAACACCTAACGCACACACACAGAGAGTGAGATAGATAGACCGGAACAGTAACGAACAAACAAACAGAAACGCAGATGAGAGATAGAGAAGAGAAGCAGACTTACTTTTGTGGCTCTGTTGAGAAATGAACCCGCGAAATAGTTGTCGAGATTTGAGAAAATTTTCAATGAGAGGGAAAATAAATATAAGCGTGGGAAACTAGAGAGTAGAGAGGGAACAAAAATGAAAAACCAAACGAGACAGGCTCCAGGCAAACCACCCGCCCAGCGGGAACAGATGGAAGAAATACAAGCCTAGAAGTAGAAGGGTCCCCGAGTTTCTCAGTAATTCCTTGGAGCCCCTACCCTCGGTAGTTATACAACTTCCCTTACAATGACATTAAAATATGATAATTTACCATTTAGTGCTCAAATTAATCAAAATATCCAACTTGTGTCACTGAGAGGGTGGTGACGGAGCCTCGGAGAGCTGCGAACGGTATCCGCCCATCCGGTTTGTCCGAATTCAAATTTGAATCCAGTGTGGTGGTCCTAGTGGATGGTCATCCGAATTCGACTACCTTATAACTAGATCGAATATGGATTCAAACTTTTTCCACCCTTATTCCATCTGATTTGGGGGAATTTGTAAATTTCAAAATACAAGGGTGATATTGAATCATAGTCAGGGGGTTTTGGAAAACAAAATCAACAAATAAATAAAAAATTATGAAATCTGATAAAGTAAAGATTTCTCTTCAATTTATGTATGATGCTTGAACCGTATGAGCTATGATACCATAAGAGTTTTGGTCAATCAAATCTCCCTTCATCGTAGGGCCAAATCACCCCTCATCATTTGTCCTTCACACTCGAGCCAATGTTAATTCAGCAAAGGGTGTAGCTTGTTTGAAGATGAAATATGAGGTGACTTCCTTTGGATGTCGGTTGAGTCTGTCCGCTTAGATCGGCTGACCTGCCAGGCTATTATTAGCGTGGGAACAACATTTCCAATCTAAAAATAGGCGTGCACTTGAAATTGGGCATGGCTTTTCAAAATCCAAAACAGGGCACCCTTTCAAAATTTTAAATATGGCGCATGTGCGGTTTTTCAAAATTCGAAATAGGACGTGCTTTCAAAATTTAAATTATGGTATGTGCACCCTTCAAAATTTCGAGCATGGGCTTCTTCCTGGACCGTTGGATTGGGAAAATCTAGTATGTCGGTGATCCACACTTCTATTTGTAAATTGGGGGGGACCCTCAAGGGCCTCATTTCGCTATCCGATTTTGGACTTATGCTGGGGTGAAGTTTGGTGGAGCTTTGACAATCTCTGGCTCGATAGTGGCAGTTTCCAACAACACGTCTTTTTCCTCATCTCGTCGGTGAGTCTCTTTTCCTCTTAGTCATGTCTAGCGGGTCGAAGAGGGAGTGCTACCCAGATGATCAAGCCGAGGGGGAGTCCTCGTCTCAAGAGCGAAGAGGTTCCCATAGAGGGGCCTCGATCTCTCAACAAGCTTCATCTAGAATAGGTTTCGGGCCCTCCGAGCTGTTCGGCGAGGAGATGGTGGATCTTATTACCAATTATCGTATCCCTAATAACTTGAACTATATCCAACCCAAGGACGGGCAATATCTGTGGAGCCATGGATAGACCAAGGTCTGTGTCTTCAAGGAAGCCCTCATTGCTAAGCTCCACTTCTCAATTCATCCATTTATCTGTGAAATCCTTCAACACTATGACTTGGCACTAGGTCAACTGCACCCGAACTTAAGGACCATTGTAGGCACCATTTCTCTTAGCCATCACCTTAGTTTCCCCTCAGATATAGATGTCTTCATGGGGCTATGTAGTACAAAGAAGCTTCCCAACAAGCCCTATTGTATATACATCAACTACTTATTTGGGTTTAAGCTTCTAGGCAGTTTTCCGTCCAAAATCACAAACTGGAAGACAAAATTCTTCTTCCTGAGTCATGAGGAAGGTTGGCCAATGTCGATGACCTGGAGGGTTGATCCAAGAAGATACGAAGTCGAGTTCGATGAGGAGTTGCGGAGTGACTTTAGACTCCTCGTTGAACGGCGCTCTTTGGTCAACGAGTTCCTAGCTGAACCGACATTGAGGCCGGCCTTAGCCCTATAGGTAGGTCACACTATTTTCATTACCTTAAAATTTTGTTTCTTGCCCTTTGTCCCTCGATTTAATTTTTTTATTGCAGAGATGACTAGCTTTTCTTTGATCGTAAGTACAACACGAAAGTTGTCTAAGAAGAAGAGGATGGCGGTTGGTGAGTCTAGTCGCGCGGTCAAAGACAGGCCGGTGGAAGGTTGTCGTGTTGTGGTTAACTTGGAGGAGGGCGGTGACCCGATTCAGACCGACCCTTCTTACGTCACTCCAGTACCACCAACGAGTGCACCCCACTTCGATGAGGCAACGACTCCTTTCAGCCAAGAGATCCCTCCATTCGTTCCCTGGGTCAATTGCTTGATCACYGATCAGATTCATGACCCGTACGCGGCACTTCATATGGGAAGGGGCATTCTCCTTCCTAAAGATGTTCGCGTGTATCATGAGCTTGATCCCTCTGAAGTCGATGTGCAAATAATTCGGAATGTAATGTAGGTATACATCCTTGCGAAAAACTTGCTTTGTTGCTTTATTTATCCCTTAATGAGTTCGTTTTTCTATCCGTAGATCAACTCGATGGATCAAGTCATGATGGACTAGATCATCGCCTCGAGGCGTGAGTCCAACGAGATGAAGGCCAACAGTATAAAGATGTCTTCAAGGGGCTATGCAGTATAAAGAAGCTTCCCAACAAGCCCTATTATTTATACATCAGCTACTGATTTGGGTTTAAGCTTCTAGGCAGTTTTCCGTCCAAAATCGCAAACTGGAAGACAAAATTATTCTTCTTGAGTCATGAGGAAGGTTGGCCAATGTCGACGACCTGGAGGGTTGATCCAAGAAGATACGAAGTCAAGTTCAATGAGGAGTTGCTGAGTGACTTTAGACTCCTCGTTGAATGGCGCTCCTTGGTCAACGAGTTCCTAGCTGAACCAACATTGAGGCCAGCCTTAACCCTATAGGTAGGTCACTCTATTTTCATTACCTTAAAATTTTGTTTCTTTCCCTTTGTCCCTCAGTTGATTTTTTTTTATTGCAGAGATGAGTAGCTTTTCTTCGATCGTAAACAAACACGAAAGTCATTTAAGAAGAAGAGAAGGGCGGTTGGTGAGTCTAGTCGCATGGTCGAAGAGAGGTTAGCGGAAGGTACCCGTGCTGTGGTTAACCTAGAGGAGGGCAGTGACCCAATTTAGACCGACCTTGCTTATGTCACTCTAGTAGAACCAACGAGTGCGTCCCACTTCGATGAGGCGACTACTCCTTATAGCCCATAGATCCCTCCATTCATTCCCTGGGTCAATTGCTTGATCACCAATCGGATTCATGACCCGTACGTGGCACTTCATATGGGAAGGAGTATTCTCCTTCCTGAAGATGTCCGCATGTATCATAAGCTTGATCCCTCTGAATTCGATGCATGAATAATTCAGAATGCAATGTAGGTATACATCCTTGCGAAAAATTTGCTTCGCTGCTTTATTTATCCCTTACCGAGCTGCTTTTCTATCCGTAGATCAACTCAATGGATCAAGTCATGATGGATTAGGTCGTCGCCTCGAGGCATGAGTCCAACGAGATGAGGGTCAACATAGAGACCCTCTAATCTCAACTTGAAGCAACCCATCTCAGTGCCGAGGAGGACCAGCAGCAGTTCTGTCCCCTTAGCGCGAGTATGAACCATGAGCTAGAAGAAGCTAGAGGACAATTGCCAATTTGAATGGTGAGCTCTAGGAATGCCAAACCAGGCACTCTGACGATATTCGCTGAGCTGAAGTTGCTGCTGTTGAGCGCTTTCGCCAATCTTCGGAGTTTGAACAAAAGAGATTTGATGCGATGATACCCTCTCTGAAGAGGGGCTTCAAGCTGTGCCACTGCTTCTTTGATGCTCGTACTCGAACCTTGACTTGGGCTCTATCTCACTTAGGTTAGTTCCAGACGATCTGACCCAAGAGGTCGAGCAAGAGGCAACTACTCCGGAGGAGGACGACGGTGATGAGTATGACGATGAGGGTGGCAACGAGAATGATGATTAGTGGAGGATTGATCTTTCCATATAGGGTTCTACTATGATATGGAGAAGATATGATATCTGAAAAACAACTGGCCAATAAACATTTTCAGGACCGCTATATGTCGGGCCTGCGAGCTCGGCAGAATTTGGATTTGTTGCGACCTATCTTCTATTTTTGCTGGTTGTAGGGAATTCTCCCATAAATGGAACTTCTGAAATATTCCTTTCCTCACCTTTCCCCTTTTTTTTGTTTATGAAAAACTAACGTCCTTTGAGATTGGTTCGAGTGTGCATTAACTGAAGTACTAGAAATGTAGTTCGGCTTAACCAGGTCAAAGCTACGCTCATCCCGCGAGCTGATAAGTCGTACTGAGAGTTGAGGCAGTGGGTGCATATGAAGCATATGAGAGTCGGGCATGAACTGCTGCTACATCTATGCCATCGCGGGGACCCTCCCGGGTCTGCGTTCATAGGTCAATGTTGCACATGTGCTACACCTGCGAGGCCGGCTCCACAATCAGTTGGCTGCCAACTCTCATGGGAGCCATGGACAGCTCGATCTGCGATGCAGCCTTGCAGTTAGGGCTAGGAGACTATCTGGGCCAAATCTCTAAAGCTTGCCTAGGTTGGTCATTCAGATTTTGCCCCCTTGTGATAGCATCATCAATACATGTGTTGCTATTGGCATTGTTGAAGACATTATTGCCTAACGATTCCATTGATCTTAAGATTAGAAAAAGGTGAGAACTTGACTTTGTGTAGCGTTCCCACGGACGACACCCGTTGATGATGTGTGATGTGGTGCTCCCTACTAGTGGACAGCTCGAACGTCGGACTAAATAGGTTGCCTAGTCGAGCTTCAAGAGAGAGAGATCAGAGTGTATGGGTTGCTTGACCCGAGGTGGGCACTCTGATGCTTAAGTCAGTGAAGAGTGTTGAGAGAGATAAAAGCGAGAGAGATAGAGACCTGTGAATGCTAAATCACATATACCTTTTTGAGGTTGGAAGTGAAACCTTTATATAGGCATTGTTTGGCGTGAGCTTCACGCACCGCGTCTGAGATCTCTGGGAAGATGTGGCTGACCGGTCCGAAGTTCTCGAAGGTAGTTTTGCATGTAGACTAGGCTTTTTTGCCTTCCTCCAAAACATTCGGTGTGGGACTTGACTTCCGGAGGACCCGGGAATGATGGAATGCTTGCGGA